ATGCTACCAGAGCTCCTATATAAGGTATAGGTTATGTATTATTTAATAGCATGTGCTCAACAGACATTGAATCATATCAATACTTCTATATGTAATTGTGAAAAATGGCACGTTGGCATCAGAGGTCCTCTAACTTCACAAGGGGATAGAATTAACCTGTGATGCAGAGGTCAAACATACCTCTATCCTCCATCTTTTTTACCAATTCTGACACCAGCCATTCCTCCCGCGGCACTCTCTTCTCTGCTAAGTTCCGTAATTCATTGCAATGGCCACACACAACTCAGCAACCATACTTACAGTTAAGAGTTTATTAGGGAAGTAACAGATTCAGGATCAGTAATGATTCAGGATACATTTCTTCACTTGTGACAGTTTCTCAACTATGTCTGTGGACAGGCCCATCTCTCAGCTCTCAGTCCTTGGCCAGCTTCTCCTCAGTTCAGGCAAGTGTTAAAAAAGCTCTTTAGATCCACCAGTTAATGTCCAGAGGCATCCCACTCTGCCAGTAAACCTCAGCCCAAAGGCACATTGCTCTCTCATTCCATGGGTTGGCTCTGTTTGGGGAAGCCCACTGTACCCCCCTTCTCATGCTGGTCTTCTGGTTCTGCTGCTGTTTTTGTGCAGCTGCTTCTTACCATCTTGTGCCATTTCCAGTGTTACAGCTCTCTATCTTCCAAGTCTAGGAAGTTCTGAACCCCGCTCCTGGCTCTTCTTTCTTGGTGGTAGTGAGATCACCCCCCCTACACACACACACACACACACACACACACACACACACTTCCCATCTTTGGGATGCCTCATTTTAAGCCAAGTAGAAAGGGAAAACTGACCAGTCCTCTCCTTGGGTTCCTTATACCTTATTTGCATGGTCGCACCTCTGCGTGTGTTCTAAGCCATGATGGGCCAAACACCTTATATGCATAGTCCCAACTGATCATGGTGTGGGACCCACAAAGACTATGGCTAAAAGATCCATATTAAGTAATTCTCTATACCACAGTAATGCTTTATTTTTAAAATATTAACATACATACAGAAAAGTACAAAAATCGTAAATATACAACTTGATGATGAATTAGCAAACTTAAGTCACCACCACCTGGAACTAGCAATATGCTACCAGCACAACAGAAGCCCCTGCCTTGTGACCTTCCCAGCTACCACTGCAGCGAGCCTTCTCCTTAAAGTAGCTATCCCAGCTTATAAGGAGCTCTGGTGGTGTAGTGCCTGAGCCATTTGATTGCTAACCAGAAGACTGGCGGTTCAAACCCACCAGCCGCTCTGTGGAAGGAAGACTAGGGAATCTATTTCCGTAAAGATTTACTGCCTCGGAAACCCAATGGGGGTCACTGTGAGTTGGAATCAACTCAGTGGCAGTGAATTTGGTTTTTTGGTTTATCCCAGCTTATTACAGGCATACCTCAGAGATACTACAGTTTTGTTTCAGACTACCACAGTAAAGCGAATATCATAGTAAAACATGTCACGTGAATTTTTGGTTTCCCGGTCCTTGTAAAAGTTATGGTTATACTATACTGTAGTCTATTAAGTGTGCAGTAATAACATATGAAGAGTTTGAAATATTGTGAGGATTACAAAAATGTGACACAGAGACATGAAATGAGCACATGCTTTTGGAAAATTGGCACCAGTAGACTTGCTTTTCACAGGTTTGCCACAAACCTTCAGTTTGTTTAAAAAATAATAAAAGGATTATCTGCAAAACACCATAAAGCAAAGTACAATAAAATGAGATATGCCTGTGCATGTAAATTAGTTCTGCCTGATTTTGAACTTTATAAAATTGTACTACTATTTTGCCTAATTTCATCCAGTATTATAAAATTCATCCATGTTCTTCTATGTCACGTTCATTTTTATTACCAAATAGAATTCCATTACGTGAGTATGTATATCGCAGTTTATTCATTTTAGTAGACAGTGTTCAGCCATTACAAATGCTGACCTGAACACTTTGTGAGTTTTTCAGTATGCATGTGCCCACATTTCCATTGGATAGATTCCCCAACACTGGGATTGTGGATTACAAGATAAGCATATGTTCAGTTTTAGTGTGTATTGCCTATAGTTTCCAGAAGTCATACCAAATTTGATTCCCACAAACTACATGAAGAGGGCTAGTTCTTCCACCTCCTTGCTAACAATTGGCCTCCTCATCTGTCTTTTATTTTAGGCTTTCAATCCCTGTCTAGATTCTCATTTTCATTTGAATTTGGTCTCTGAGAATTTTCATTATTTTCTTGACAGCTTAACAATGCATTTCAAAAGTTTTTATCTTTTGTTTTAATCCAAGATGTTTATTTTTATAAGAAGGTAGTTCAGGGTATCAGTCTCACCATTTTGCTAGAAACAGAAGTCACCTAGGTATTATTTTTTCTATAAAAAAGTTAATAAATTTTAAATTATCTTACTTTAATTTTTATTAAATACACTTCAGGATATGATACCTATCGTCCAGCCTGTGGTGCTTACTTTTTTTGAGAAGAAAATGATTTCTCTCATTATAAAGCATAGATTCTGGAACATACACAATTGATACTGTTGTGGATGGTGTCTTTGATAATAAATTTAAAGACAGCAGAAATATTCTCTATATAGTTGATGTTGACTTTGGTAAATGTAGGGCAAAACTTTTACTGTATTAGCAGTATTTAAGCAGCAGTCAAGGATTTTGTCCATCTCATTTAATTTAAGCAGAAGATTTAAATTACCTTGAAAATTGAAAATTGAATGTGGGTTTGCCTTTATCTGTTATTTAAATCTCACTGTTTTTTTCAACTGGCTCTCCGTTACAAACAGAATAAACTTTTTATTGAGAATCAGGGATATAGACACTTTGCTGATTAGAGGAGCTATGTCTCTCGAATCCAAGGAGGTTTACAGTCAAAATAAACCTCAGTGCCCAGATGAGGTTTGAAATTTCCATTAAAAGAAACTTTGGATCTATTCACCTGCTCTGTTAAGATCTTTAGAATGGTACGTTTCTCTGTACTGTAGAAATTGGCATGTAGATATCTTGGAAGAATTATATATGTTCCTCTGTTTTGCCTATTGCTATGCATATCCATTGAGGCAATCCGTATTTGATGGATGATTGTGGTAGTTATGTTTGTATGTATGGGCCTTGTTGAGTAGCTGGGCAGCTGGTGGTAGTTTTCCCATGATGAGACTGGCAGTCAACTCCATGGTGGGTTGTACCACAAGTAGCTGAGTAGCTGTCTTTGGGATGTGGTCTGCTTCCTGTATATAAGGAGAAGCCTTGGGAATGGTCGCTAGCTTATGGAGGACCCTGCATGTAGCAGTGTTATTGTTCGGCAGCCTGCGATGGTCTGCTGACCTTGCGACTTACAATGGACTTAAATTAATGGCCTGCCATGTGGTTTGGTAACATTGGGACTGTGCCTTTTTATTTGACAACCTTGGGTTTGTGAGCCTCAGCAGCTAGCAGCTGTCTGAGTGAAGAAAAACACCTCTAGCTCCAGTGGGCTGGGAGCAGGAGGCAGAGCTGGACCCCAAGGTTGAGGGGCTTTCACCCAGCCCCTAGAGTCTGGCACTTTGGACTTGGACTTGAAGCCTCCAAACTGTGAGAGTGCCATCCCAGTTATGGTATATATTCTTATCAGAGCAGCAGTAGGTAACCAGAACAATGACTGAATCTTCATTTCTGATGGACAGCAAGTTTGGGTGTTAATGATCTTGTAGAAAAGTAAATCCATTAAGATTTTATGCAAAAGTTGTTTGTTTGTTTTTTTTTTAATTGTGATTTTGGTGAAAGTTTACAGAGCAAATTCGCTTTCCATACAGCAGTTCACATATACTTTGTCTCATGACACTGGTTACAATTTACCCCAGTACAACAGCTCCCCTCCCACTTCCTCCCGGTAGTTACCTCTTCCTTGTGTCCATCCCTCCGTGAACTCCTGCCCCCTGAGCTATCTCCTTGTGCATAAACAGCCCTTCTTTCTCATGCAACAGTTTTAAAATATACTTAAAGCATAGTTTAAATATTTTAAACTCTTTGTTTTATTTTTATTTTCAGCCAATAGTAAGGCAGAAGAAACATTTTAATTCACTGCACATTCCAAAAGCCTTGCAGAAAGCCCTGCCATTTAAGAACAAGCCCAAGACTCAAGCAAAGGCAGGAAAGGTACCAAAGGACAGGCAGCGACCAGTCGTCATCCGAGAGCCTCATGAGAGAAAGGTACTGTGGTATTCATTTGTGTGTGAAAACAATCCTTTTAGTAGAAAATTGGGCATTTCTTCTGCATTCTCATTTTTCAACAGGAAAGGATCTCGAGGGCTAGACTTTCTGAGGCACTCCACTTGGAAGTTAGAGAAAAGGCCATGGTCCATTCCTTTTCTTTTTTTTTAGTTATACTTTGACTTATGCATCTTAATGTCATACTATAATAGATGCCCAACTGGTAAATTACTCTGCTCCCAGTATAACTAAGTGTGAGCAGTCCTTGTTAAGAGAGGAAGCAGCAACCAGCAAATCCGACATTTTTTAATAAACTTTTATGATGCTGACAAATACTGATTTTTTAGTTATTATTTCTGTTAGATAAATAGGGGGAATAGATTTCCTTAACCATATCTCTACTTTCTGCTCTGTTTTCAGTTTTGGGAAAAATTATTTTATCTCTCTCTCCTAAAGATGTGTGCTCTGGTGGCATAGTGCCTAAAGCATTTGACTGCTAACCAGAAGGGCTGGCAGTTCAAACCCACCAGCCAGCCACTCCTCGGAAGGAAGGTTGCGCAATCTACTTGTGTAGAGATAGCGTCTCAAAAACCCAAGGAAGGGGTTGCTATTAGTCGGAAATGACTTGACAGCAGTGAGTTTGTTTTTTTTGTTTCTCCTAAAGATAAATAAAAGTCTTTCAGAGGTAGAAAGCTGTTTTTGTCTTAGTTAATTGCTCGTAGTATCCACAGAGTAATGAACAAAGGAGGTTTCATGGCAAAAGCCATTATGTAAGTATAATCATCCCTCAGTATCTGTGGATGATTGGTTCTAGGACTCCTCATGGACACCAAAATCCTTAGATGCTTAAGTCCTTTATATAAAATGGCATGGTAATTTTGTATTGCCTCTTCTCATCATCCCAAAACACCAAACAAGACTTACTGCCACTGAGTCGATTCCTACTCATAGCAACCCCCATTGGGTTTCCAAGGTGGTAAATCTTTACCGAAATAGATTTCCCCATCTTCTTTCTGTGGAGTGGCCACTGGGTTTGAACCAACCTTCTGGTTAACAGTCAAATGCTTTAGGCATTGCACCACGAATTCTTATGCATATCCTCCCATAAACTTTAAATCCTGTCTAGATTAGTTATAGTACCAAACAATGTAACTTTTATATAAATAACACTTTAAACTCCCTTTTGAGGAATTGCTTTGAGCACTAATTGCCCCCGTGCCCCAACCCCAGTATTTTTCATACATGGTTGGTTGAATCTACAAGTCCATAAGCCACAGATTTGGAGGGTCAACTATGTTTTGCTAGGTAAATATGCTTTTACCTGTATCTCCATGTAAATTATGATTTCCCAATTCAGATAAATTTTCATTAGGTTAATAATTCATTTCAGATCTTGGATTAAGTCTAGTTTTAATTAATTCCGCTGAGGTGCTTAGGCCTGCTGAAACTTAGATGAGAATTAAAGCATGCCGTGTTGTTGTTGTTGTTGTTTGCCATTGAGTCGGCCCCGACTCATAGCAACCCCTCCTTGGGTTTCCGAGGCAGTATCACTACGGAAGTAGGATTGCCCAACCTTCCTTCCGAGGAGTGGCTGGTGGGTTTGAACCGCCAGCCTTCTGGTGAGCAGTCAAGTGCCTTAGGCACTATGCTACCAGAGTAGGCATGAGAATATCCTGATACTCATTTGTTTTTCATATCAGATCCTTGCATTACTGGATGCTCTGAGTACAGTGCACAGTCATAAGATGAAGAAGGCCAAGGAGCAACGGCATCTGCAGAATAAAGAGCACTTCAAAGTGAAGAAAAAGGAAGAAGAAGAGAAACTGGCACAGCAAAAGGAGCTCAGGAAGAAGCTCTTCCGAATTCAGGGTCAGAGAGAAAGAAGAAATAAAAAGTCTAGCCTAAAAGGGCATGAGGAGCAATTGAAGTGAGCCTCTCAGACTGGTAGAATGTCATTTGGCTCAGCAGAAATGGATAGCTTTAAATATTATAGTACTTGTAAACAATAAATCAGGGCACTAGAGCCCAAAAAAGACGGTACATTTGCAAATAGAAGTGGAAAAGACTACTGGTATGACATAGGTGCATTCTCTGCATCTAGATAAACAAAAAATGATACCATTTTATGGTTCTGCACTAGCTGCCTCAATCTTTTTTTGGTGTATGCTGCAAGTATACCATTAAAATATTTTATTGTAAATTTTGTCTTAGTTATTCTTATTAGGGATGAGTGCCTGATAAAACTGATTGGTAATTGCTTTCTCTCCCTACTTCCTGATGAGTCTTCCAGAAATGACAAGCTTAGCTTAGCTTTAGTGTAAAATTTTAGAGAATATGATTGTTTTGGTTGTTTTTTTTTTTTTTTAATTGCCTACCATGATCACTATCTTTACTGGACATTTTATATCTTGTTTTATATCTTTTGCATGTTAGTATAAAAACTAGGTAATGGTACATGCTGTTGATACTCTATTTATGTAGCTTGACTTTTAAAGCTGTAGACCAGTCTGCTGTAGACTCAGATAATGTATAGGGTCCAAGGAAATAATATAAATGAAGTAGGTCTCTTGTATTGTGCCGAGGCATAACAGCTGCCTAGTTATATTGCTTTTATTATTATTATTATTATTGAAAGTTTTGTTGAGATAATTATAAATTCACATACAGTTCTAAGAAATATTGCTCTTACACACTTTGCCAAATTTTGTCCAGTAATAGCAGTTTGCAAAACTATAGCATAATATCACTATCAGGATAGTACCTTGATACCATCCACTGATGTTATTCCTATTTTCCCAGTTTTATGTATACTCATTTGTGTTTGTGTGTCTGAAAATAGGGGACACTTCACAAATTTGCATGTTATCCACGTACAAGGTCTTGCTAACCTTCTGTAAAGTTTTTCCAATTTTAATATATGTGCTGGCAACGCATCATATGGGCCACCAAAGAAATTTACACAGGGTCAGCCCTTGGGTTTCGTGGTAAGATCCTTGTCCATGGAGCTCTTGGGTTTTGGTTAAGTGCTCAAATAGCAGTGAAGCATGAGAACCAATTGTGTTCCAGTAATGAGTGATTATGGCTCCTATATAGGAGAAAGGATCAGAGAATCCTGCCAGGGCCCAACCTGTATGGGAAGTAACAATTGGAATAATATGCCTACATCCTTCTGAGGAATTCTGTTATACATTTTCCTCTATTCGCAGGAACAATGAGGAATATCAGCATCCAGTTTGCTGACAGGTTTAGTGACTAGTGTATATAATAAAACCAAACTCATTTCTGTTGAGTCGGATCTGACTCATAGCCCCTCCTTGGGTTTCTGAGGCAGTATCACTACAGAAGTAGATTGCCCAATTTTCCTTCCAAGGAGTGGCTGGTGGGTTTGAACCACCAGCCTTCTAGTTAGCAGTCATATGCCTCAGGCACTGCGCTACCAGAGCTCCCAGTGTATATAATAAGCCCATTAAAATTATAAAATTCATTGTATAGTTAACTACATTTTGTAATTAAGTACCTCACAAGGTCAGTGAACAGAAATCTAGCTTCAAAAGTGTCTTACGCTACAAGAAAATTTTTAAAAACACTGCAGATTATATAGATGAACAGTTGAAAGGGTGAAATCCTGTACTGATAGGAAAATAAAAGAATGTTTCAGCACAATTGCAGATAATTGTCTTTCCTACAGATAATATTTGTCTTTAAGTAAATCATATTTGCTAATATTGAAAATCTTGATTTGTCATATTTGGAGAATTAGGAAAAATGAAAATTTTGCATGTCAAAATTACTTAAATCCTTCAGAAACTTGTGTTACTGTCTGAAAATAATCATTAGTCTCAACTAAATTATGGTGTTTTTTGTGTAGATTTTGTACTGATAAGGCACTAGCTCTCCATGTAATAAATTTATTTAACTATAAAGATTCCATTTATTTTAGGGGAAATTAGTACAGGCATATGTTAGAGATATTGTAGGTTTGGTTCCAGACCACAGCAACAAAGTAAATACCATACTGAAGTGAGTCATGAGAATTGTTTGCTTTTTCATTGCATATGAAAATTATGTTTACACTATGTTGTAGTTTGTGAAGTATGCATTATGAAAAATTTACTTTCTATAAAGATTGTTTTCATTGTGTGCTATGGAATCAATCCTGACTCATCCCAACTGACCCTATAAGACAGAAGGACCCCTCTTGCTGGGAGTAGAATACCAGATCTTCTCCCACGGAGTTACTAGTGGGTTCTAACAGCCAGTCTTTCAGTCAGCTGCCAAGGAAAGCCTAGAAATAATTTTGAAATAACCATGTTTTTGTTAAATGCCATTGGGTTGTGTTTGACTCATAGCAGCCCTTTGTACAGTAGAACAAAACACTGCCCAGTCCTACTCCATCCTCACAATATTTGCTATGCTTGAGCCCATTGTTGCAGCCATTGTCAATTGAAAGTCTTCCCCTTTTTCGCTGTCCCTCTGCTTTAGCAGGCATAGTATCCACCCTTCTACCTTATAAGGAGCTGTACTTCCTTCAAGACAGTTTTGTTCTTCTGGCAGTCGTGGTATTTTCAGTATTCTTTACCAGCACCACAATTCAAATGCATCAGTTCTTCAGTCTTCCTTATTCATTGTCCAGCTTTCACATGCATATGAAGCTATTGACAATTGAGTCAGACACAACTTAGTCATCAAAGTGACACATTTTAACACATTAAAGAGATCTTTTGCAGCAGATTTGCCCAGTGTTGATACTTAATTTGATTTCTTAACTGTTGCTTTCATGGGCATTGATTGTGTATCCAAGTGAAATGAAATCCCTGACAACTTCAAACTTTTCTCCTTTTATCATGATGTTGCTTATTTGTCTGTTTGTGAGGATTTTTGTTTCCTTTATGTTGAGGTGTAATTCATACTGAAGGCTGTAGTCTTTGATCATCAGTAAGTGCTTCAAGTCTTCACTTTCAGCAAGTAAAGTTGTGTTATCTGCATATAGCAGGTTATATGAGTCTTCCATTCCTGATGCCATATTATAAATATTGTCCAGCTTTTCAGATTATTTGCTCTGCATACAGATTGAATGATGTCATTAGGTGCTGTTGAGTCATCTCCGACTCATGGCGACCTTATGTACAACAGAACGAAACACTGCCTGGTCCTGTGCCAACCTCATTATCCCTGCTATACCTGCGCCCATCATTACAGCCACTGTGTCAGTCCATCTTGTTGAGGGCCTTCCCCTTCTGCACTGATCCTCCACTTTACCAAGCATGGTATCCTTGTCCAGAGAATCATCTCCTCTGGCAACATGACCAAAGTAAATGAGACGAATTCTGGCCATTCTCGCCTCCAAGGAACATTTGTTGCACTTCCTCCAGGACAGATTTCTTAGTTCTTTTAGCAGTCCATGGTACACTCAGTATTCTTTGCCAGCACGACAATGCAAAAGCTTTGACTCTATTGCAGTTCCAGATCATAGCAAAAACCTTTCCTCAGCTCTTGGTCTGAATCCTGCTTCTGGATCATCATCTCACCCACACTTCTTGGGACTTGAGACAGCAGCCAGTCATCTGACCTCTCTCCTGATTTGGGTTCATCAGCCTCTGCAACCACTTGAGTGAGGAGAATCCTCCAGACTGACTACTGAGCCATGGATTTGGGACTTGGCAGTCTCTCCAACCATGTGAGCCATTTCCATGACAGTTTCCAAGTTCCATCTGACATCAACAATGATATCCCTTGCTCCACCTCCTGTTCTGAATCTAGTTTGGATTTCTGGCAACTCCCTACTGATGTATTGATGCAACTATTCTTGCATTATCTTCAGCAAAATTTTCCTTGTGTGTAATAATAATGATATTGTTCAATAATAGCCATATGCTGTTGGATCACTTTTCTTTGGAGTGTACACAGATAGGGATCTCTTCCAGTCAATTGACCCGGTAGCTATCTTCCAAATTTCTTGGCCTAAATGGGTGAAAAAACCTCCAGCACTATGTCCATTTGTTGAAACATCTCATTGGGAATTCTGTTAATTCCTGGAGTCTTGATTTTTTTGCCAGTTCCTTCATACACACATACACACACACTTCTACAACTATTACAAATATAACAATTATTCTCAAAGAAATGTGAGATGTTTTCCATCCATGCAAATGAAGCAGTGATCTTAGAAATTGAAACCATGATTTTTGAAATAAAAAAACTCAATAAATTGTATCTCCAAGAGCAGCTCTTTGAAAGAATGACTGTAGGATAAACTTCACCAAAAAAATCCAAGAATGATGATGTGAGGTTCCAGAAAAAGTGTAGAGGAAAGAAACCCATTAACTTGTAGCAATCTAAATGTGGCATATGTTAAGAAATTAATAAAATGGAATTAAAATCTAGATCAGGATTGGCAAACATTTTTTTGTAAATGGACAGCTAGTAAATATTTTCAGCTTTGTGGTCCATAATAGTCTTTGTCACAACTGTTCGGCTTTGCTGGTGCGGTATGAAAGCAGCCATAGACAATGTGTAAATGAAAGGACATGCATGTTTCTCAATAAAACTTTATTTACCAAAAAAAAAAGCATTGACTCTTCTTCAGTCTTCCTTACTCATTGTCCAGCTCTCACATGCGTGAGGCAATTGAAAATACCATGGCTTGAGTTAGATGCACCTTAGTCTTAAAGGAAACATGTTTGGTCTTCAGCACACACAGAGGTCTTTTATAGCAGATTTGCCAAGTGCGATATGTCTTCTGATGTCTTGACTGCTGCTTCTGTTGGTGTTGATGTAGAACCAAGTAATAGGAAGTCTTTGACAACTTCAGTCTTTCCTCCATTTATCATTATTCCTGATGCTGCTCATTGGTCCAGTTGTGAGGACTTTTGTTTTCTTTGTATTGAGGTGTAATCCATAATGCAGATGAATCAAATCAGCTATATTAGTG